AAGCGACCAGATGTGAGGACAGTAACACTGGTTTATAGTTAACATGTGCATCAGTGATGTTATGATTTAAGCAGACTGTGTTTTACCTGTGTAGCGCACCTGTGAGTCATCATCTGTACATGCCGTGCTGAGGGTACAAAACATCTTTGGCACGTGCTCACTAAACCCATGCACAGCTGTGTTGCTGCTGGGAGACATGAGCGCCAACATGAAGCAGGAGGAGTCAGTGAGCTCTACAGCCGGTTAAACACTGAATATTGAGGGCAGACAATGAGCTTTTGGAGGTATTTCACTGGTTGTAACACATATTGTGGGGTAGGCCCCTATCGCCTTCAGCCATTATGTGTTTGCACTGTTCATTATGTGTTTTACTTTTTATTCACAAGCGTTTCAAATCCATAGAAAGGCAAAAGCTGTAGAGGAAACAAGCAAGAGACACTTAATGACTTATAATAAAGAAAGTGCCCTTGAGCAAGGCACTTAACCCAGCTATGTTCAATGTGCTCAGTGACTGAGAGAAGTCAGCAGACAGAGGAGGAGTTGAGCTTTTGGTGCCGGGCACTTCCCATCGGACAGAATTAGCAGACTGTGGTTGCACTGGGCAGCTCGCAGGAATGAATGCGCTTTACTGTAAACAAAAAAAAATGCAAAGCAGGACATGCTGGAGGAGCAAGTGCACGCTCAGCAGAAGCAACCCCTTCCTTGGATGAATAAATGTACGAAGAAAAATCTGCCAACGACAGCTATCGGATCCATGAGTGAAATCAACGGTCATCAGCTAAAAACGCACCTGGCAGGCGTGAAGTGCGGACAGATATTTGTGAGAGTGGAGTGAAAGGTGAGCGGAGGGAAAAGAGAGTAGTGGGCCTCGGTGCTTTAACCCAGGGTCTATTAGAGTCTGATTGGTACCATTAGGAGGGAAAGACGATCCGCAGACGGTCAGCAGCGCTCCTCTGGCTTTACATTAACCACCGCCTGCTCTCTACTTTGTTGAACATAGGAGCTGATCGATAGCAATGAGGAGGAAGGAGAGGAGGGGAGGAGGTAGCGAGGCGAGAGAGCGAAAAGAGGTCCAGGTTTACGGGAAGATAAGCCGGGATCGATAGGAAGACAAGAACTGCTGCCGCGTGGAGAGGGAGGATGGAGGGAGGATGGAGGAATGTGAGATGCGGCCGGCTCACACTCATCCACCTCATCAAACCTGACGGAGGGGAACTGGAGTGCAGAGACTCGAGAGACAATATGCTGGAGAACAGAGGCCTCACGCATGATTACTGCAACAGCGATAATACACTTACATCTCAAGGGGAATGCATCACTCAAATCAATGTGATTAAAGACTCTAAAAGCATTTCGACATGTGCATTATCATAGTAATAGTTCCATCAGTGCGTCATGTGATAATGTTTTCATTCCTCACAAAATGAATAAGCTACTTTCTGTTCTTTGCTGGTTTTCATTATTTGGAGTAGAACTCTTCCCACTGACGCTAAACGTATATTAAACGTTTCTGCAAATGTTAGTAAGTTACATTTGTAATAATCTGACTTCTCAATCTTTTTTTTGCAACAGGCTTTAACTAAGCACTTCATACAATGTTCTGAAAGAAAGATATGTTGTAACTCTCCCTTAGCATAATAAGGCGTGTGGTGCATAATAAGGCGTGTGGTGCAGTGGGTTGTGCGTTGGTGTTCGGATCAGGGGGTCACAGGTTCAAACCCCACTGCAGTCAGCATGTCGTTGTGTCCCTGAGACACTTCACCCCAAATTACTCCCGTGGGGATTGTCCACAGTATTGAGTATGTAAGTCGCTTTGGATAAAAGCGTCTAACATGTAATATGATAGTAGAATTAACTATATTATACTTTATAATATTGAAATATGTGGTCCTAGTGGGGTGTGACCAGGCTGTTATGTCGTTTTTCTTCAACAAGATAAATATATATATTTAAAAAAACGCTTAAAATACATTTAAAAGTGAGACTAAAGTAATGCGATATTTAAAAAAGTACTGTTGACATCAAAATACAATCATATTTAGGGGATTTAAACACATTTTTGGGGAGATTATTTGATTTGTTTCTCCAAACCTTGATTTAAAGGTTTGAGCCACTGGAAGGTTTTTATTGTGAAACCTTGAAATCTAGAAAATGATACAAAACCAAAACAAAGCAGTCAAACACAATTGGTATGACTTACGCATGAGTCATATTTTAAAGTAATAGCTTACAACAATTGTCTCTCACAAAATGTAAGGAGAAATTCTTAGTGGTTGAAACTCGACACTTCCTGGAGAACATAGAAATCGTACGAGGAAAGAGAAGGTTTACAGAAAGAGCCACTGTCAGGGTTTAATGGAAAACACCAATGGACGGAGACAGGGAGTGGTGTCCTTAAAATATGATCAGAATATTTATAAAAACAGACAAGAAAAGGAATAAAGCCCGTCTCTGTGCAGCTGACAGGGTTAGCTGTTGTTTGTGAATCCACTGAAGAATCTTATTGTAAAACATGTGCACTCCAGGGCTGACACCTGTCACACAGCTCTGATGTACACAACCTCCACCTCCATCTTTCTCTCATTCCCCTCTTCCTCCCTCTATCCCTCTCTTCATCTCGCTCCTTTCACCCTGACTTCTCCCTCCCCCCTTTACCTCCCCCACGCTCTCAGGGTCTGTGATGGCACCCTGTCAGAGGAAGAGCTATTTATGACCGGCAACCAATATCCTCCCGGAGATAAACACACACTGTGAGGGACGCCGATAGAGAGATGCAACCAGAATTATTAGAGAGAAAAGGGGATAAGTGCATTGTGACAGAAAATATGGATTTAGGAATGAAGTTGTTCGAGGCTGCTTAGTCTTTGTGTGCCTCTGTGTTTATGTGCGTGAAAGTGGGTCTTTGTAGTCGTCGCAGTATATGTGTGTGATTAACTGCATGCCTCTCTGTGTTTTCCAACGTGGAAGCCGAGCTACAAATGACTTTTTCCATCAGAGGCAATTTACTAAAGTCTACCCGAGCTGGCAGTCGCTCCATCAAACAGACAACTGATTGTTAAGGAGAGAGCATTTCATGATACACTTCAAACATGACACACACACACACACACACACACACACACACACACACACACACACACACACACACACACACACACACACACACACACACACACACACACACACACACACACACACACCACACACACACACACACACACACACACACACACACACACACACACACACACACACACACACACACACACACACACACACACACACACACACACACACACACACACACACACACACACACACACACACACACACAGATATCCTGCGTCGTACCATGACAAAGGCACAGGGATGTTTTCAGTGGAGTGTCAGGTATGGATTTACAGCCCATATTTCCATATCGTTGTCAGGGAAGGCGTTCATTAAAATAAATCTACACTAAACACATTTAGGAGGCAACATTTGAAATGGGCATCAAAAATGGCAGCGATGAGAATTTGCCACATTTGAAACACTTCAATAAAAGATTAAAAAAAGATTCCTACGGTCAAAAGGACCAACTATGATCCAATCTTCCTATGGCTAAATATTGTACAACATACATTCATGTTTGCTATTTTTTCAAGTTTCCTATTATCGGAATATTCCATGAACGAAAGGACAGGATCTGGAAGTATTAAAGTTGGTTCACACTGCGCAACCTTTGACACTGGGATGTATTTGTTTGGCTGAATGTGATTGGTTTGTGCCTTTAAGTGCGATGTGAAGAACAATAACCCTTTATTTTTATTATATAACGTTATTTGTGAAAGTACTGATGACAAAAACAACAATACTTAAATTAAATTATTCATGTGCAACTAAATTGCTGCAGAAAAAGACGATTCCAGTTTGCAAAGAAAATCCCTTTAGCATACAACGCGTCATAATTAAAATGGTTGAAAGACAGAATGAACTTAAGAGCTACTTTTCTCTGTTTTACTGCCTTATCTTTTTGATTAATGTCCAGCTAGTGTCTTTTCACATTTTCAATCACAGTATAAACATAACGTGGACATTATATAACATAAAAACATGTATATATATACACGCATATTTTCATTGACTAAAGCTTGTTGGAAGTCATGATTGAGTGCGAAAAAACTTCATTTACTAAATAGTTTGCCAGTAAACTCTACATTGTGTGCATGGTCGAAGGAAGAAGAGCTCTCCTTCCCCTTCTTCCTTCCCCTTCTTCCTTCCTTGATTTCCAATTTTCACTTTCAAGCAAAAAATGTCAGCCTCACCTTTACTCACACATACACACTGAGGAAAAGTGTGATTACCCCACAAGTGCACACACACACACACACACACACACACACACACACACACACACACACACACACACACACACACACACACACACACACACACACACACACACACACACACACACCACACACACACACACACACACACACACACACACACACACACACACACACACACACACACACACACACACACACACACACACACACACACACACACACACACACACACACACACACACACACACACACACACACACACACACACTTCAGCCAATCCTGAAATACATTCTTAGCAATCTGAAATCCAATATCCTTCACAAAAATCTACTTTTTGTTAGATTTCTCTCTTATCTCCCGGCTCGTGCTTCTCTCTCCTCTTCCTCTCGTTCCGGTGTAATTTCTTTCGACAGTAGGAGTACCTGAAATTGTCTATAATTTCCACATCCTGTTTTAACAACTCCCCCCCCCTCCACCTTCCTTCGCAGTTCTCCTTTTCCTTCTTATATTTACTTTCTTTAGATGTTTTGATGTGACATGCCCTCCATACCCCTCCGCCTATTTCCCTCTGTTCTCCTCCCTCACTCACTCTGAGCCGTTTTCTGAGGAGGCACAAACATATGCTGCTGTTTGTCTTCTCCACCCTTTGTTGCGTTTTCACTTTCTTACCTGTTTTTCTTCTCCTCCCTCGCGTATCCCTGGGCTTTCTTCTTAATCTTCCTTTCAGTGAGTTCGCCACTTCGTGAAGGTTGAACAGAGACACTCAACTCAGATGAAGGTCACATTGGGCTAAAGTGGAGAAGAAGAAGAAAAGAGGGTAATGAGTGACGGGGGTGGATGTTTGCGTGCACATGTTTGTCCACGGAGGATTGGAAAAGGCTGCTTTAATCATTCTAATGTCTATCATGGAGAAGACCTGGCAGCTTATCTGCATACACTCATGTTACACACACACACACACACACACACACACACACACACACACACACACACACACACACACACACACACACACACACACACACACACACACACACACACACACACACACACACACACACACAACACACACACACACACACACACACACACACACACACACACACACACACACACACACACACACACACACACACACACACACACACAACACACACACACACACACACACACACACACACACACACACACACACACACACACACACACACACACACACACACACACACACACACACACACACACACACACACACACACACACAGGCCGTTTCTCAATGTCGAGTAAAGCTGCTCCAGAGCCACTATTTCAAGCATACTACGTCATCGAGTGCCGCCGAAGGGCTGTTCCAATGTCCAGCATACTTGGAATTCTACCGAGCCCGGGGTACTTCGTCCTTCAAATCCCCACAATGCTTTGCGCACGGACCAATTTCCCCAAATCTGTGGCGGAAAATGTAAGGCGGGGCCTCTCATATGAGAGTGTGCACACCTGCACACTTGCTCGCCTGTTCCACTCTTCGTTTTCCGAATGCCAGGAAGGATTCTTGCCTCGCTTCTGAAGCAAGTGACTCGGAAGACATGTGCTACAAAGCAAGCGTCCTCGACATCGAGAGATACCCAGTGTCATACACACACACAAGCGTGCAAAACAACTCTGCTTCTCAGATGTACACTGACATTTGCTGTAGTTGGTGAGACTATCCCTTACCAGCCAGGAACAATGTTTTTTAAGGCAAACAAATATTTCTTTTGTTTTGTTAAAGCTTGTAGGTTCCAATTATTTTTCTAAACGCTTTTGAAGATGCCAGTATGTCTTACAATACAGAAAGTAAACTCCATGACCGAAGCACTGAGAGGCATGTGACAATCTCTACTTGGTTGTCTATTTTCTAACACTAGATCTAAAACATTATATATTATGTTATGTATGACTTCATGGCAGCTGAAAACAAAGGTTTAGGTTCCTACATTTCTAGGTATTTTTCACCGATGAAAAGTTTTGTCAGGTGAATTTCTCTCCCAACAAACATGGGAAACAACAACAGCTTGGCAATTGTAATTGGAGACAATACAGTGAAACCGTGACATAAAAACGTTAAATGAGTATTGATAGGAGAAGTTATAATATGTGACACTAAACATTAAAGAACCATTTATTGCTAATATACTCCTAATAAATACTAAATAAAGGTTGCAGGGCTTGTACAGCTCTTGTTGGCAACAGGACGATGAAGTCCCAAGGTTTCAAAGGCTTTATTTGTCAAATGCTCAACAGCTACAGCAAATGTTGGCAATGCAGATATTAAATCTCTGGCTTCTCTGACAATACAACATATAATTAAAAACATAAGTTTATCGCCATCATGTTCTGTATACTAAAAGCATTTATGTTTCCTTCCATTTGAGCTAACTTATCTCTGTGCCCTCTAAACACAGGGTCTGTTAGCGGGTTAGGTAACATTATTTAATTAGACTTTCCTGAGGTCAAGCAGACTGCTAGCTAACATATTGTACCACTGACTCCTGTTTCATAACTGTCTGATAATCATCGCTCATTGGTGGAGCAGATTATACAAAGGAGGGTTATCTAACAGTGGGTGATGCAACAACGGCTAACAAGCTACAATGGTTTCCTCCATTTTGGACTGTCAGCCCTGTTTCCTCAAAGGTCAGCCTTGTCAATCGGCTGGTTGTTAGTCAATGGCAGGAATTAATTAAAAGTTCCCCCAAAGTTGAACTCAATGTGTGAAGAGATTTAAATGATTTCCTATTTTTATTTAGCTGTTTAATCCGCACATGAAACTGTGACAAACAAAGCCACTTCACACACACCTGAACCCTTAACGCCTACATGCTTTGGATCACACTGCAGATCAAATAAATAACTGCCAAGTCTGAGCCAGTGTGTGTGTGTGTATGTGTGTGTGTGAGGAGGTTAAGATTTATGTCAACATCAATGGATCACTAATCATGAAGAGAGCGCAGAGGGCCAAGCAGGTACTGTCAGTAATGTATTGGCTAGCAAGTGTTACACACAGAGGGCACACTACTTGACACCATCATAGTTCATTCACTGCTGTCAATAAACTGCACAGTGGAAACTCTGCGCACAATACTCTGCACTGTATCGACTGGAAGAGCGGTGACATTCATCAGACCCCATCGATTGAGGGCGAGAAACCCCACAAACTCTCACAAAAAAGACATCTTTGAAAAACATCTGTAATTTGGACATTTTGCAGAACTAGAATGGCTCGATGCGTGGTGTGTGAAAACAAGTATCCTGTATCTACACACAGGCAGTTTTTACCTTTTAGACAACCCAATTGGTTTTCAGAGGTTTTTTATCCTAAGAAAAAGAGAAAATGTAATCCTTAATGGATTTCACTGAGCACTGACTAAATGAAACCTGCCATTTCTAAATGAAGAGTTTACTCAAAGACAGGGTGAATCCTCTTTTGATGGTTGAAAGAAAATAAAAAAGCAAAACAGTCTATTTGGAAAGCAGGTCATTCCAAATCCAGTTTGTCTAATTAAATGTGCTGGAAAGTGAATTTAGACCTAATGAGGAACCTTACGGCAATGAGTAGCTCACCATATGAGCGCGAGTGTGTGTGGAAGTGTGTGTGTAAACGGCTTCTGGTAAAGAGATTAACCGTTCGGTGAGTGTCTCCACCTGGGACTGAACCGGCGGCGTGTCTGCTGAAGCTTTAACGGCAGCAGAATAACTTAAAAGGCTGAAAGGAGAAAATCTGTCAAATGAAATATGCTGCTGCCTGCTACTGAGGCCACTGGCTGGGCTACCCCCCACACACACACACACACACACACACACACACACACACACACACACACACACACACACACACACACACACACACACACACACACACACACACACAACACACACACACACACACACACACACACAACACACACACACACACACACACACACACACACACACACACACACACACACACACACACACACACACACACACACACACACACACACACACACACACACACACACACTAATGGTATATGTTAAAATACTCATGACATATCACATAAGTAATAAAACACAAGTATACTGTTATACAATTAACTCAAGTATTGAAAGTAAAAGTACTCTTATAAGTACAACAATCTCCCTCTTGCTGTTAATATATATAGTGCAGTAGAAGTATAAAGAAGGATACATCTCAAGTTGTGTACCTCAGTTTGTGTGTGTGTGTGTGTGTATATCTTAATCTTCCAACTTAGACAAACCCAGCAGAGTTTCCAATAAACACTGCTAATAAAGTCTGGCAAGAGCTCTATCTGTCAATGCACACACACACACACACACACACACACACACACACACACACACACACACACACACACACACACACACACACACACACACACACACACACACACACACACACACACACACACACACACACACACACACACACACACACACACACACACACACACATACACACACACACACACACACACACACACACACACACACACACACACACACACACACACACACACACACACACACACACACACACACACACACACACACACACACACACACACACACACACACACACACACACACACAACTATGTGACTGCAAAGCTTTCAGGCCATCTCTGGTAGATTTTTCCTAAATAAGTAAGTCATCCAGACCTCAGCTTTCCATTGGCTTCATTCAGGAGATCCAGCAGCCAAAAGCCTGCAAGGCTCCACACAAACACAAACACACAAACATGCACGCACTTGTACACACACACCAATACTTTCAAAACACATACAGAGACCCACAAGAGGCTCAAAAAAGGAGGAAGAGGGGACGAATGGAGAGGGAGTAGAGGCGTCTTGTTAAAAAGCAGGATTTCAAAAGCACCTGCACACAAACACACACACCTCCAGCTGCTTGCTGCCTGTGTGTTTGACAGGCAGCAAGCAGTGAGTGGATGTGTGGAAGCCAGCCAGCCGCTTATGAATCAGCACTGACTAACAGTTTCAATCTGCACTTTCTGAGCTAATCGCGTGCATGCTTATTGTAAATGCATGGCTGTGTGTGTGTGTGTGTGTGTGTGTGTGTGTGTGTGTGTGTGTGTGTGTGTGTGTGTGTGTGTGTGTGTGGGTGGATGTGGTGTGTGAGTATACCCATGTCTGAATGTGTGTTGATGTGTTTGCCTGCGTGTTGCCACCATAGCCTTCCCTATCAGGCCCGATTGTGACAGCCCGGGCCTATAATTGCTTTGCACCAAATTTGACATTTGTCTAAGCTGACAGCACCCCGATGAGCAGAATACAAGTGGAGTGACGATGTTCCCATCACTTCCTCGTATGCTGTGATCCGTTTGATCGCTGCACAAGACGACGCAATGGGATGCTAATGGCATGCAAAGGCCCGAGCTTTGAGACTGTGCCAAAGTGTGTGAGTCTGCCTTGTAAGAGTGTATGTGAGTGTATGTGAGTATGTGAGTGTGTGTGTGTGTGTGTGTGTGTGTGTGTGTGCGTGCGTGTGTGTGTGTGTGTGTGTGTGTGTGTGTGTGCCTGTAATGGCAGCTCTAATCAGCGGCAGGATTGGAAGAGGCATGTGGCAATAAAGCCCAACAAAATGACTGCCAGTCCCTATTAGAGCCGAGCACTCTCAGAAAACCAAGCTGATGACACACACATATATACACACACTCCATCTTGGTGGACATCTGGCCAAGGTCGGAGTTAGATTTGAGCAATGAACGCCAATTGCAAACCACCTTATCACCCC